AGGTCTATAGCAATTAACAAAAGTAGAGAAGAGGAAAGAGATTTCACCTGTCTGAAAGGATAGAGTTCTTTGCAACGCTTTTACATCAGATGCCTTATGGAAGACAATACCAGAAAGGAAATAACCAGCAATAAATGCTGTCGAATGAAATGCAAAGAGGAGCAACAAAATAGTTGCACCAAAAGGGGATAGAACAGTCTTGATGTTAATAGCTAGTGGTGCTCCAACACAGAAAGCTGTATCTAGCACTGAAAGTGGGGGCAAAAATGGTCGAATGGCATTAGAAATCCGAGGAAACAACCTGCAGATACAAACACATGAGACAGGTAAGTTAAACAAGATAAAGTATCAACTCAACAAATTCACCATGGGTTTGTTTATCACCGATTCAGAAGCAAGCCTGCAGCAATTGGTGCAATGACAATCTGAAGAATGCTGGACACCATTCCTTTCACATCAACTGGCAATCGCTTTCCTATAAGCAGGAGTGACAGCATTGGTGTAACAATAACTGCAGTAGCAGTAGACAAGGAAGTCATGACAATGCTCAGAGGAGCCAGGTGTGGAACTGTCAGAAATGTAGCATAATTTGCGAGCTGGGCACCGCTAACACAGGATACCAACATAATCCCAGCACCTGATTCACATATCAATAGTCAGTGTGCTTACAATTTTTGAAAGTAATATGGATAGACCTCATCTATAGAAGCATGGAAGCCAAAAGAAACAGATGGGCAGACCCTCACCTAAAGGAGTAGGGAGGCCAAGAACTGTTACGGCAATTGTGCCAAAAAAAAATCCAAGGACAGGCTTCACAACATATTGCCCAATATAACCAGCAAAAATAACAGCTGGTCTTTTGACTGCCTCAAGAAAATCCTCCTCACTGGAATTAACCCCTACTGCAAACATCAAAAACCCTAAGGCAGGAGCATAGTACCTAGTGGTAGATCCAAAAAAAAAAAAATCATAAGCATATAATTGATAAGTTTATTTCACTCCCATTTCACATTTAACTTACTATTACATGCACCATGTCAAGGGAGCAGAAATGAACTACCTTCAAATGGGACAAATGCATGATACACTTGAGGTTTAAACTTTAAACAAACAACTCATATAGGGAAACATCCATCAACCTGCTGGTGAACCACGTGAAAGAAGGGGGATAGACAAGAGCCAGCACTGTACTAGCAAGCACCACATGAGGCAGAATGGAATTCGATTGCTTCAGAATCTCCACTAAAGATCCGCCCTTTGGCCTAACAGTCTGTGATCAGACATGAAATAATTTAATAACTAACAAAGTTTGGCCTAAAATGATTTTGATCATGCAATATGCCTAGACGTGAACAAAATACCAACAAATTACTTGATGCTTACTGCAACTACGCTGGAATACTAGTAGTAAAAGCAAAACACATGCATCAAACCCAACACTAGCTTATGATCAGATCAAGTTTGAATTTTGTTATGTCCCATTTGTGTTTAAAGTAAGTCTACTGAACACACTTTATGTTCCAAAAATTTAGTCTACTGAACACACTTTATGTTCCAAAAATTTCCACCCTATACATAAATGAAATTTGATTTATAGTTAAGTATGTGAGCAAGATTACAGTAACTAGAACAAAAGGCCTATGCTTTCAACAATAGATAACCTTAATATATTCATCGAAGACTGATATTTGGAGCATTCAACAGGCAGGAAATTTAGCATTTTGACTCAATCAAAGACGAACCCATGAAAACATATGCACCTGATTTGGCTCGGATACATAATCTTGATCTGATTCCCCTTCATAAGAACCCGAAAACTTCTGTGCTGTGCATCTGTGCACCAACAATCTGGAGCTCCCAACTGTGAAACACTAAGAGTAAAGAAATTTAAAAGCATAGCAAACAAAGATTAAGAAGGTAAAAGTAAAAAGAAAAAACAGATGGGCTACGAATACTATTTTCAAAGGGAATAGGAAGATGCTGACGCTGAGAAATTGAGCTGACTTGAGTCGGGAAATGAGAAATTCGCGGGAAAACTGGGAGATGTTGGTGCTTCTGGAAATGGGTATTCTGCAAACTAATATGAAATAGGTGGGGACGTTGGATTTGCATCTGAGAAGTGTTTAAAATCATCTTCTCCACTGAGAAGTGATTTCGTGGAAAAAGCAGGAATTTTCTCAACCCTCAATTGATCTGAAGCCTTCCCCGTATAGGAATCAGATAAAAAGAACATATTTTTTTTAAAAAAAATCCCAAAATCTTTTAAATTAAACCTATGTGTGTGGATACAAATTAGAAAATGAAATAAAGTGGGAGG